GGTTACGCGTTGACCGGCATTGACCCTTAGGGTTTTGAGTCGTTGAACGTTGACTTGTGTTGCAACGCGTTGACTGGCGTTGACCTAGGGTTACGCGGTGACCGGCGTTGACTCTAGGGTTTCGAATCGCCATTAACACAGTTTATACTCGTACGTTTGCTGGAGTATACACAGTTTAAGCTCTTAAGGTATTGGAGCACAGCACCCTAGGGTTTCGGATCGTCAGGCGTTGACTTTGGTCGCAACGCGTTGACTGGCGTTGACCTAGGGTTACGTGTTGACCGGCGTTGACCCTAGGGTTTCGGATCGTCGATCGTTGATTAGTGTGGATTTTGAATCCTCGAACGTTGACTTTCGTTGCAACGCGTTGACTGGTGTTGACCTAGGGTTACGCGTTGACCGGCGTTGACCCTAGGGTTTTGAATCGTCAAACGTTGACTTGTGTGGATTTCGCATCCTCGAACGTTGACTTTTGTTGCAACGCGTTGACTGGCGTTGACCTAGGGTTACGCGTTGACCGGTGTTGACCCTAGGGTTTTGGATTGCTCGTCGTTGATTTGTGTGGATTTCGCATCCTCGAACGTTGACTTTCGTTGCAACGCGTTGACTGGCGTTGACCTAGGGTTACGCGTTGACCGGCATTGACCTAGGGTTTTGAATCGTCAAATGTTGACTTGTGTGGATTTCGCATCCTCGAACATTGACTTTCGTTGCAACGCGTTGACTGGCGTTGACCTAGGGTTACGCGTTGACCGGCGTTGACCCTAGGGTTTTGAATCGTCAAACGTTGACTTGTGTGGATTTCGCATCCTCGAACGTTGACTTTCGTTGCAACGCGTTGACTGGCGTTGACCTAGGGTTACGCGTTGACCGGCGTTAACCCTAGGGTTTCGAATCGTCTAACGTTGATTAGTGTGAATGTTGACCGGCGTTGACCCTAGGGTTTTGGATTGCTCGTCGTTGATTAGTGTTGATTTTGTCGAAACGTTCAAACAATCGACGCAAATGGACGAAATCGGGTCTCAAAAGGGAATCCGGGGGTCAAAATTTGCTTAAGACACCCAAGGGGTGTCTCAACAAAACCGAGACACCCTTGGGGTGTCTCGGTCTTGCCGAGACACCCTTGGGGTGTCTCGGTCTTGCCGAGACACCCCTTGGGGTGTCTTGGCCAAAACCGTGGTCCCCCCCCTTTTGTTTGTTTCCTTTTTTTTTGTTTCCCCCTCTTTTTCCATTTTTGTTTTCCCCCCTCTTTTCAAAGTCTTTTCAAAAGAGGATTCTTTCCCTCTTGAATCATCTTCTTCTACCTCTATCCCTCCACCATTGTTCTTTACTTTCCAAGAACTCTAAACCCATAAACTCCATAAAGAAATTTCGGATTTTTGTGTTCTCTCCTTGGCCGAAAATACCTTCTCCTCCAAGCTAGGGTTTCATCATCTTCAAGCTCAAGAAAAGCCTCTTGATTTGGTAAGTTCCCCTTCAAAACTCTCCTCTTTTTCAATAAAGATCATAGCTTTATATTTGTGATGGGGGTATATCATGAACTCTCATGCAAAGATCACAACTTTTTACTCTCAAGATGACGGGTTGTGTATGCACAAGTATTTGGGGGGTTTTATGCAAAGTTACAATATGGCCGAATTTTGGGGGGCTTTTATGCAAAAGTGGACTGAAATTTGTAGGGGTCTTTATGCAAAATGGGACTGAAATTTGTAGGGGTGTTTCATGCAAAAAGACCACAAATTATTGAGGGTTTTATGTGCAAAAAGCAACCCACAAAGTGTAGAGGGGTTTATTTGCAAAAGGGCTGAAATTCCAAAAGTTTAGACCACAACCCAATAACCAAAGTTTTGATAAGGGCATGTGGACATAAAATTGAAATTTGTGAAGGGGTTTATTTGCAAATTTGGCTTCATTTTACAAAAGGGTTTATTTGTAAAATTAACCAAAATTGTAGGGTACCGGGGGGTGCTATATGATCAGATATGATGACCATGACCCAACCCGAGCGTGTCCTTGACCCAAATTTGGCCTTGAACACGAAGGGTATTTTGGGTATTTCACCAAAATTCACCGCGAAAAATGACAATCATTGTTTCGCATGCACGAAATTTGTAGGTTTAACTAGACTTCAATTATGAAATCCTATTTATACATAGGATTTTAATTAAAGTTCTTAATTTCCCTTTTAAATTTCGTGTATTCATATTTGTACCTGACTTGCTGCTTTTTGTTGCAGATCTGCGATGTCTCCGCGTCGTCCCCGACCTTCCAGGAGTCGCCCCCATTCGCAGCACAGTGAGGAGGAGGCTCCCGCCGTATCTTCCTCAGTAGCCTCCTTCTTCCAGGGTGAGAATTCATATAGATTTTTTTTTCTTGCACCCCTGATTGACTTCTTTGCGGGTCATGAAGGAAGAACCGATACCTCTCTCGCGGAGGGTAAGGTTTCAGACTTGTTTTGCTTAGCCAATTCAAGTCTTCCGGCGTCATTGCCTGCGCCAGCTTATTACGGATGCCTCCTTTACTGCGGATTCTACCTCTACTCAGGCTTTAAAGAAGCCGAGTTTCCTGTTCGGAGATCACGTCGAGGATCCTGCTACGTTGACCCTTACCGAGGAACACTGGCTGTCTCTCGACGAAGGAGCTCCCTTGTACATTCCCTCCATTCCGCGTCAATATTCTTTCAGTCACTTGAAGGGACAGGCCGTGGAGCGACAGATGTCTTGGCACCTTACTGATGATGCTGAGCGAGTCCAGTGTGGATATGCCTCTTATCACAAGACTCCTGGTTCTAGCGGGTATCATGATGTTCGTGGTCTTCGACCAGGGATCATGGGCCTTGACACTGCACCCCCAGGCGAGGTGTCAGCAGCTGCTCCTACCGTGAGTAACCGTCTGGCTCTTCTTGGGAGAATGTTACCTCCACCGGATTATAGATGTTATGGTTGGGCTTCCTCACTAGCCAAGGGATGGTGGGCACGCATGACCAGTTTCGTCTTAGCGCGCTGGGAGAGGGATTTGAAGAGCAGTGGATTGTATGCACCTATACGAGCCACCATGTACGGAATCCCGGTCAGCTGTCGCCATTTCTTGGCGTTGTTAGAGACCTACATGCCTGACAGTAACACCTTCCTGACCAGCGGTGGCGAGTTAGGGTTGGTCTTGCATGAGATGCATCAGGTTTCTGGTCTTCCGATGGGGGATTGTCCATATCAGGAGTATTTTCCGTCGAACCAATAGTTGGAGTGTATGAAGAAAGATACCCCCGATATGTATGACACTCTTTGGGATCTTACTTGTCACTATTATACCTCCTTGGCCCAGACTTCTCTTCTAGCGAAAAGGAAGAAGCAGATCAGTTTGAAGCAGTTTGCTAGCTATTTGTTCCAGAATTTGGAGGGTGATTCCGGCGAGCCCATTCGTGAGTTAGATGTGTTGACCCCTACCGCCATTAATGAGTTGGTGGAGAAGACTGAGGCTCGTTCTTACACCATTGCCAGTGCTGAGGGAGCTTTTCCTGCGGGAACCAAGTTTCGTTCGTTTCTCCGTCGTGCACAGAAGTCCATTAGGCCCCGGACTCTACTAGCAGGCTACATTACTCTCTGGTTGAAGAAATGTGTTGTTCCATATCAGCCTTCAGACGCTTTACCTGTCGAGGTGCTCTTCACTGCAGTTCAGCTAGCTTATGGGAGAGAGCTTTCCTTGCTCCCAGCGATGGTTGCTGGCATCCATTGCGGGCTTAGGTGTCTAGTCAATAGTTTTACACAGAGGGGTTCTGAACCATCGACTGAGCTTATTTGTCCGAAGGTCGAGCTTCCTTACGCATATCTGATGGCGTGGCTTGTCCTTCACCGTCCTAACTTGATGTCGGCGCCCAGCGTTGTTGATGTCCCCGTTCCTTTTGTGCAGCTGTTGGAGAAGAGCAGATGGCTCGGGAACAAATTCAGTGATGTTCAACGAGAGCTTCGAGTCCGTAAGAGCTGGGAGTTCTTCAAGTGTTTTCCTCACTTTTCGGGTCGCTATGGTGACGTGCTGATTGACGAGGAGAAACCTAGAAGTGACCGGACTGTTCTCGACGTTGGTTGTTTCCGCTGGTTAGTGAACATCCGAGTTGGGTATCTTGTCCTCCGGGTGAAGAATCAATGCATCATAGAGCCTTACCTCCCCTGCCGCTTTGCTCGTCAGTTCGGCTATGACCAACTATATGTTGGGAATCCAAGCCGTGGTCTGCAAGTTAAGGGAGGACTGATTGATGGCGTACGAGCATGGCTGTGGACTATGGTGGGCTGCACTGGAGCCCATTTTGCTCTTCCTTCCTATAGGCGTAAGCCGCTGACCACTTTCCTTAGTTGCAAGTGGTTCCTTTCCGCCTATGAATCCATAGGTGTGAGGAGCCTTTCAGAGTTACAGTCTGAGTACTCGGTCCGGGCTGCTATGATGGCTGCTCGCAGGGCTAAGATTACTCAGAAGCAGAGAAAGGGGCATGCCAAATCTCTTCTCACAGATGATGAAGAGCTCCTTCCTACGGGTGACGACGACGAGACCTCCGAGGAAGAATATGTGGATGCAGATACCGACAGAGGAGAACTCGATACCGGTTTGTCCTGCTTCTTCGATTTTCCTTCTCCATTCTAATTGGTATAAACGACAGCTCTTGTTTGTTTAATGAAATGACCATTGTCACTTTAGGTAGGACAGTTGACGATCATGAGCCGCCAGCTCCTACACACGTTGAAACGTGTAACAAGCCTGTGCATGACCGACCGTTGGTCCTAGGAGTGTTGGTGCCCCGAAGAGGAAGAAGACCGCACATAAACCCCACGACGGTCAGCGTCCTTATGGAGTGGGCTTAGGAAGCACCGCCGATGGAGGGGAATGTAACATTTTATTTTTATTGCTTTAAGGTGATTTTCCTTTTGGGATTCGTAACCATGTTTTATGCTCCAGGGTTCTTCGAAGAGGGCGAACTCCCACCGGGTCCGGTATCTCCTGGATCTGATAACATGGATTGCTTTATGCAGCAGATGTGCGACGCCCTTCATGACGGGTCTCTGGGCATCGATCTAAACATTGATCTTGGGCAAGTGAATAGTGTTGAGTCCACCGTCCCGTATTCAGGTATATCTACATCCAATGATGCCCTCCTCAATCATGGGGAAGGAAGATCTTCTGTTTTTGCTGCAAGTATATTTTTTTTAAGCTTTCCTCATCTTCCAACATTCAGGTTACCCTGCAGATGTCGCGATGGAAAGGCCAGCTGAGGATGGAGCCTATCATGATGCAGGTTTCGAGGAGAGGGGGTGTGCTCCTGTACCAAGCTTCTCGAAACCCGATGCTGGCTTATTAGCTGACATGCTGGCTGAGCAGACTACCAGAGGAACCGAGAGATCTGATCCCCTTCATCTTGCCTGATCTTTTGTCTGACTAACGAAGGATTAATATTACAGCACCAACCATTGGGATTAGCCCAATATCGATTCCTGGTATATCTAGCTTACCTCGGAGTGACGGACTCGCCGGTACGCATACGATTTAGGGATATCGTACTTCTCTAAGTTTATCTGACTTTTGACTAATATATGAGTGCAATCATAGGACCTGCCACCGGGACTGATTCTCTTATGATTCCTGGCATTCCCCAGATGCCTACGGATGATGGACCTACAGGTATGCAGATGACCTTATCATCCCAATCCTCCTTATTTGTCTAAATTTTCATTTTGACTAATAAAGAAGTACAATTATAGGACCAGCCGCTTGGGCCGATACTCTTATGACTCTTGGCATTCCCGCTGCATCTGAGGACGGTGGGATTGCAGGTATGCATACGATCTTTTTGTCCCGATTCTCCTTATTTGTCCAAATTTCCATTTGACTAATACAGGAGTGTAACTATAGGACCGGCCGTTGTGCCTGATACTACTACAATTCCCGGGACTGAAAGTCTGCATAGAAGTGGCGTCTCCCCGCCCTTGCCAAGTGGTATGAGCAATCTGCCTGCAGGGGTTGATATACCCTCCATGACCACTTCTGCCGCTGTCTCAGAGCCTGTCGGACCTCAGCCTGAGGGGACCTCCGTTGGCGTTGGTATGCTCAGAGTTTGCCTTTGAATTTCCTTATCGTATTCGATAATCTACTAAACTTCTATGTTGCATATGATCACATCCTTGCCATCTTGTTTGATTCCGATCCTCGTAGAGACGTATTCCGGATGGATCTCAACTCCTTCGTTGTCTTTTTTAACAGCATGATCGAGAAGGTTCTTCACCAAGGACATGGTTTTGATCAGTACAGACGTTCCCTTTCTCGCTACATGATGATGATCCGAGACGACGGATACTCGGAGTTAGCTGACTCCCTCGCCGCTGATTTTGTTGTCCTGGAGTCTGAACTCCGGGAGTTGGAGGAGCTACAGGCTAGCAGAGCTTCTTCTTTCGTGTCTTCTCAGCTGGAGAATAGGTTGTCGCAGTGGCATGATTTGAGATCTTCCATCGGTCATGAACTTCAGTCATACGAGCATTCCGTCGCACAGCTGATGGCTGGTATTGCCAGGAAGGATACTGACAGAGCCGAGTTACTCAATTCTTTGGGCTCTCAGCGTGAGGAGGTAGATAAATTGAGGAAGGCCTTGAAGCTTGCCGAGGAATCTGTTGGTATTATGGCGGAAGAGTTGGCTGGACTAGAGAGGTCTCGCGAGCAGATGCTTGAGAGATTAGGACCTACGCAGGCGAGATTGATGGAGCTGAAGAATGAAGCTGCGAGGATCTTGAGCAATTCTGAAGAATCCATCCGAGCTGACCTGCAAGTAGAACTAGAACAGAGTTATATAGACAAGCTTTCTAAGTTAAAATCTCATGTTCTTAGCCGCCGACTGTCTTCAGGATGATGAGCTTTTTATTGTATGCTTTAGCTTGATCTATTAATAGAAACTCCGCATTTGCTTCTTTTGTGATCTTTCTGTATTTATTCTGAATGACAAGGTTTATAGGATTTTTGGCAAACCCCCAGCCATCAACGAGTTTGAAATGTCTTTACCGATTACCGTTTGAAATCGGACTAGCATGTGAATTATTAAACCCGTCTCACATGTAACGTTGTGCTAAGAAAATCGCTTTTCTTAGACTTGATGCTATGATTTTGAATACATAGACTTAACCATTTCTTATAGGGAAAAGGCACCCTGCACCGCGTATTAGGCGATGACAGTTTAGACCTTGGTGTCTTTTTCAATCGGCGAAAGACTAAACCGGCCATGTGTGTTAGACATGGACTTTGGAATTTTTGGCAAACCCCCAGCCATCAACGGGTTTGGTGTACCTTTACCGATTACCGTTTGAATCGGGCTAGCATGCGGATTGTCTAGATCCGTTCCACATGTAACGTTGTGTTGAGAGAGTAAATTCTCTGAGGCTTTGTGCTATGATTTCGAATACATAGGCTTTGCCCTTGTTACAGGAATAGGCTACCTGGCAACACGTGTTAGGTGTTGACTCGTCTCTACTTAGGCTTCAGGATAAAATTCCCCAAGTTTAGACCTTGGTGTCTTTTTCAATCGGTGAAAGACTAAACCGGCAACGCGTGTTAGGCGCTGGCTTATCCCTACTTAGGCTTCAGGATAAAATTCCCCAGACTGGAATTCTGGTGTCTTCTTCAATCGGTGAAAGACTAAACTGGCAACGCGTGTTAGGCGTTGACTTATCTCTACTTAGGCTTCGGGATGAAATTCCCCAGACTGGAATTCTGGTGTCTTCTTCAATCGGTGAAAGACTAAACCGGCAACGCGTGTTAGGCGCTGGCTTATCCCTTCTTAGGCTTCGGGATGAAATTCCCCGTGCACCAAGTGCCCGGATTGGAAGTTGAGAATTGTGTCTTTTTTAAGAGCAAAGACAGACTAGGAAATGGGAGAGGAAGAATTTTATATTCTATCTCCCGGTGCTGAAGAGGAAGAATTTTATATTCTATCTACAGCTAGAAAGGAAACTCGAGGTGGGATCTCCACCCCTAGAATCCGAAAGGATGAAACTAAGAGTGGGATCTCCACTCTGAGAATCGGAGAGGTTCGAATGACCCTAACTTTTATAGGATTAGTCATTTGAACCCAAAGAATCCCTCATTCATTGAGGAGAAAGCCCAATTTCAACCCTAACTTTTATAGGTTTGGTGGAAAAGGGGACAAAGGTGGATTTTCGTTTATCGAAAAGGAATGACTCGGCCTTAGTCTTGACTATTTGTAGGCTTGACTAAGCGAGATCGGGAACAATCCTAACTTTTATAGGTTTGACTGTTCAAATTGAAAGTGGACCTCTCGTTCATGGAAGGAATCGAGGGAGGAATTTGGCTTTGGCCCTAACTTTGGCCCTAACTTTTATAGGTTTGACCAGAAAGCAAAGAAGGTGGAATACGGGTAGCAAAGAAAATGCCAACTCGTATTAACACTCAAAGGGAGACTTTAATGCTAGGTGATTAGGACCTAGCACGTTAAGTCTGAGAAATGCCAACGACGGGCAGATGGAAATGTTGGTGGATCCATTGTCGTTTAATTTGATCAGCGGATGGTTTGGTGAGGAAAGATTAACCTATCAGAGGATTAAGTCTCATCTCACAAAAATAACTCTTAAGAGTTAGAGAATTTTGATAAGAATAAGAAGAAACATTCTGACATTCAAAGTTCGAATGTAGATTTCTTATTCATCAATTCTACAATGACTGGGTTATCCCTAAGAATACCCATGTGGTATTCTTCTGGGAACTTCCCAATACATTGGTTATCCTGAAGATACTAAGGATAGTATTTTTTCAGGAACTTGCCGTTTATCGGCATCATAAGCCGGCCACCGTCCTTGGTGACAAGGCGATATGTGCCACTCGAGTAGACTGTCTCTACTACGAATGGCCCCTCCCATTTGGGTTCAAATTTGCCCTTCTTCTTGGAATTAAGGATCATAGGCCGCCTCTCAGCTAGAACCAAATCCCCTTCTTTGAAGCTTCGTTGTCGAACCTTTTTGTCGAAGGCTCGAGAAATTCTAGCTTGGTAAAACTCAATATGCTGTTGAGCTTCCAGGCGCTTTTCATCGAGTCTCTCGAGTTCTTTGAGGCGTCTCTGATGTTGTTCTTCGGTCGTCATCTGGGTTGCAAGAGCGATCCGAAGAGACGGGATTTGAATCTCCAATGGAAGAACAGCTTCACATCCGTATACCAGTGAATACGGGGTTGCTCCCGTCGGTGTGCGCACCGTGGTCCGATAGGCCCATAGAGCCGCGCCAAGCTTGTCATCCCAGTCTCGTTTATTAGTTTTCACGATTTTTGACAAGAGTTTTATGATAGTCTTGTTGAAGGCTTCAGCTAATCCATTTGCTGTGGGATTATAAGCCGTTGACGAGATATCCTGAATTTTAAACTTTTCGCAGAACCTTATGAAGGCGTTGCTGACAAATTGAGGACCGTTGTCATGTATGATTCGTCTTGGAACACCATACCTGTAAATGATATGGTGCTTGATGAATGCAATGACGTTACTCGTTTTAACTTCTCTAAGTGGAACTGCTTCATCCCATTTGGAGAAGTAATCGGTAATTGCCAGGATGAACCGGTCACCTTTGACTGATGGGGGATTTATAGGGCCAACAATGTCCATTCCCCAAGTCTCGAACGGCCATGACGTAATCGAAGGATGCAGATGCTCCGGAGGGTGGTGCATATAATTCGCATGTACTTGACATGCGTGACACTTTCGGGCATATGCGATTGCATCACTCATCATGAAAGGCCAAAAATATCCCATTCTTCTGATGCGGTCATAAAGCTTGGGACCAGGCTGGTGTGCGCCACACTCTCCTTCATGCGCCTCCCTAAGGACCTCTTCAGCTTCTTTGGTTGATAAGCAACGTGCTAGCAACCCATCGTACCCCCTGCGGTATAGCGTTCGATTCTCCGTATTATAGTAGAATCTTGGTGCTCTTCGTCTGATTGACTCTCTTTCCTTCACATCTTCTGGCAAGATCCCATGCAAGACGTAGTTGATGATGGGGAAACGCCAATCTCGTGGTTCGAACTCGACTTGAGTAGCGTGCACTTCTTGAACCTCTTCTTCCTTGGCATCTTCACCGTAAAGCGGCACTAAGAGTTGGTGAGTTCTTACCGTAACAAACTGTTCCGTTTCAGGAGGTTGAGCCAGAGATACTGCCAATGCCGCTAACGCATCTGCGTAAGTGTTCTATAGCCGTGGAATATGTTTGATAAAGAATCCTTCGAATGATTCTGCCATCTCCACCGTCATCTTATGGTATGGTATTAAATCTTGGCTTCAGACCTCTTACTCTCCCTGAACTTGTTTAACTATCAGTTGAGAATCGCCAAAGGCTTCGAGGTACTCAACCCCCAGTTCTTTAGCAAAACCGAGTCCTATGAGTAAT